GGGGGGGAGGGGTGGTGAGTGGATTCACCAGAGACAGAGTTGGGAGCAGAACAGGCAGATGGACTGAAATAACCTGTCTTGCTTGCTGTCATCTCCTAGGAGGGCCCAGAGGAAAACAGTGCTTATGAGATGTTGCTGTCACATTTGCAAGAAATCGCTGAGGAAGGTTAGTGGTTGCTTTAGTCACTATCCTTAATACCCTTGTTCATAAAGAATTATCCCAAGAGAGCTGAGTGCCCTTGAGGGAGGGTTTGGTGTGTGTACTGACTGACTGTGATAATGGAGCTGAACAGAGATAAATAGGCAAAGACAAATCCTGCAAAATAAGACTGGGGGATGGGACAGGGGCAGAATGGGACAACGAGGGTAAGAGGTACAAACTGACAGTGAGAAAATGAGTGTCACTGGATATAATATATAGCATGGTAAATATAACTAATACCATATTGAATATTTAAAAGTTGCAAGGAAAAAAATAAATAAAAGTTGCTAGGAGACTGGATCTTAAAAGTCCTCATCTGCACGGGATTATGGTGATGGCACATGGGTGACTTGGTGATGGGAAACCCGCGGGGATTACAATTGAGATGGGAAAAAAAATGTACAAAATGATGTAAGAATAAACTTTTGTAATAAAAAAAAAAGTCCTCATCACAAGAAAAATAAATGTAACTATGAAGGTGGATGTGAACGAGGCTTATTTTTTTGATGATTAATTCACAATCTGTACAAATAGTAAGCCACTGTGTTGCATACCTAAAATTAATATAGCATTTCGTGTCAATTCTACCTTAATAAAGAACGTTTTAATGAAAAGAAAGACCAAAAAAATAGAATTTGCAGCTTCAGAAATGAATCTGGAAAGTTAAAAATTTTCTGAGAACTATACTTCTTCATAAATAGCAAATGTTTTAACTTTGTAAGTACTTTTATTGGAAGTTTGTCCTTTCTCACCAGTTTACTAGTTTTGCTAGCCCTATAGCTTTTGAGTTTTTGTCTCTGTAGTTATTAAGAGACAGGTTTACTGACAGGTTTTCAGCTCATTTTGATTCACTCTGGGGTTAAATATGAGGTCCAGCATGCTGTCACAGTGGAAAGTAAGAGTGAAGACTCACTGGTCCTAAGGGCTCTTCTGTCACACTGGGATGCACTTTACTCTTCTCACCTCTGAGTTCGGTCTGCTGTGTTAAGGAGAGGGGACATTTAGTGAGACAATGGTCTCAGAGAAGTGATTCCGTGTGGCTTCTGGAAGGTGAAACTGTATCTCTACCTCCAAAGTTTCCAGGATTGGGTGGGGAAATCTGGTGGAGACTCCAGCACATATCCTCTCCACAGATTCAGAGACGGGGATCCCAGGACTGGACATATCTGCACTGCTGCCTTCGGATCTCGGGCGCTACTTCCGATATGAGGGGTCTCTGACCACACCCCCATGCGCCCAGGGAGTCATCTGGACTGTGTTCAACCAGACAGTGAGGCTGAGTGCTAAGCAGGTAGAACTGGGGTGTGATGATGACATCGGGGTCTGGGGGGTATAGGATGAGGTGGGAAAGATGAAGCATAAAGAGATCAAGGGGCCGGGTAGGGATGATGGGGACATGGAGGTGACACCTCCAAGCGCTGGCTGTAATAGATCTGGGGCCCTTTTGCTTCCTGGTCACAAGCTTATTCCTTGGTCCTGTCTGCTGACCTCCCTAGCTCCACACCCTCTCTTCCTCCATGTGGGGATCTGATGACTCTCGGCTACAGCTGAACTTCCGGCCTATGAAACCTTTGAATGGGCGAGTGATTGAGGCCTCTTTCCCTGTTGCAGTGGACAGCACCACTAAGACTGCTGAGCCAGGTGTGACTTTGCCTGGTGTCCCATTCTGCCACATCGCCCTGGTGTCATCACTTGTGCTGTGTCTGTCACTGGTGGCCACAGACCTGGCTCTAATGTCTCCTTTTTCTCTTTAGTTTCTCTGAACACCTCCTCCTGTCTTGCTGCTGGTGAGTTTTACTCTTCCTTTCCCCCGAGGCTGGGGGGACACCCGTTGGACCCACTTAGCCCTAGGGGCTAGTCAGAAACACCCCTGCTTTCTCTCCTCTACTGCAGACTTCCAACTTCAATAGGACAGTGTCAAGTCAAGATGGGGGTTCCCTATGGATAAAGTTCCAGAAATCCCTTAGTGTCTTTTTTTTTTTTTAAGATTTATTTATGCACGCAGAACTGGAGCACGGGCCAGAGGTGCAGGGGTGGTGAGAGGACCCACCAGAGACAGAGTGGGGAGCAGAACAGGCAGACTGACGAAGTACACTGCCTAGGGGAGCAGTGGGCAAGACAGGAGAGGTCTGCCACGCCATGTGGGTCACCTCTGGGGTCAAGGATCAAACTCCCACTGAGGCAGCAGCAGCCAGCTTGCAATGCTGGGTCCCAACCTATTGTGCCACCAGGGAGGACCGGCTTCTTCTTTCCCAAACAATCTTTTACTCCATGTTTAGGCAGGAAACATGAGCTTAATTTACCCTTCCTTGTGAGTCAACCCACACCCCTTTGCTGACTTCTGGATTCTGAGCCACTGAGGGCAGCTGGCAGCCCCAGCCTATGGCTGGAGGCATAAACTGAGCAGGTTTTCAGGGAACCCTACTGGTTCCTCTTTACTCTGAGGCGATTTTCCCTCTCCTTCCAGGTGACATCCTCGCCCTGGTTTTTGGCCTCCTCTTTGCTATCACCAGCATCCTCTTCCTTGTACAAATGAGAAGGCAGCAAAGGTATGAGCTGTGCTAACCCCTCCCTCAGGCGGGCGGGCGGGCGCAGTCCTCACCTCCTCAGGAGCCCCAGCTTCATGCAAGTGCTTGCAGATGAGCTCACCAGCAGCAAGCTTTCTGACCAGGCTTTCTTGTTGAACAGAAGACTCCAAAGCCACACCAAAGGGAGTGCTAGCTACCACCCTGCGGAAGTCACCGAGACAGCTGCCTAGAGATCCATGTCCTGGACTGTCTGGAGAATGTGCAGAGAGCAGCCAGAGAGAATTCTGAGGGGCAGCTAGAGACTGTCTTGCCCCTTCCACCACTTCCTCTTTTTTTGCCCCACCACTTCCTTTTTAACCTCCAAAGATTTTTTTTTAAATAAATGTTTCTAATAAAAATATGGAAGACATTTTTGTTCTCCACATAGGGATTCTGCATTCATTTGCTATAACAAATTACCACAAACTTAATGGTGACACAAACTTATTCAGGATTTCTGGTGGCCAGAAATCCAAAAGAAATCTTAAAAAAAAAAAAAAACTTACTGTATTTATTTACATGTTGAAGAACTGGGGTGTAGGCCAGAGAAGCAAGGCGGTGAGAGGATTCCCTAGACAGAGTGGGAGCAGAATAGGTGGACTGACTGAAACACACTGCTGAGGGGAGCAGAGGCGAGCCAGTCTGCTGCACCATGTGGGTCAGCTCCCTGGCAGGGAACTGAACTCATGGCTACAGATAACTTCACAGTGCTGAGACTTGACCCTTTGCACCTCTGGGGAGGCCCCCCAAAATGCATCTTAAGGGCTCAAAGTCAAGGTATAGGGAGGGTTAGTTTCTTCTCAGGGCTCTCAGGGAAGAATGTTTCCGTACCTTTAGCTCCTAAAAGTCAAGCCTTCCTTGGTTTGTGGCCCCTTCCTGTATCACTCCAGCCATTTGCCTTCATTATCGTTATCTCCTTTGATCTTGTGTCCCCTTCGTAATGATTATGTTGGGTCTACCCAGAGGTGGGGAGCCGATCTTCAGTTTAATCACAAGTTCTTTTCCCATGTAAGGCAACATCTCACAGTATTAGGATGTGGACATCTTTGCTAGGGGGACATTACCAGGAATGAGTCAGAAGGGATTGACATTGTTGGAAGGGCCGTTGTGAGTGTGCGTGTGCGCGCACACCTCTATAAGCATGTAGAGTGTATATGTGGGGGGCTAGGGCAGGTTTAACCTGTAGACTTCAGATCACATTGAAGCTTTTGGGCTTTCACCTGGCTTGAGTCAAGTCTGTGTAGCTTTTGCAGCTTTTCCTTCAGCTTGTACCACCTGACCCAGCCACACAGTGGAAGGGGCTGAGCGAGACAGCAGCTCCCCTGCCCTGCAGAATAAGGGCAGTTGTGCTGGGTTCCTCTGCTTCCCACAGCCCCGGAAAAGGGAGTGATGGGCCCTCCCTGGTGGCGCAGCGGGTTAAAGCACAGCACTAAGAAGCTAAAGCAACTTCCACATGAGTTCGATCCCCCCAATGCCCCGGAGGTGACATGGCGCGGCAGACCTCTCCTGGCCCGCCCACTGCTCCCCTCAGCAGTATACTTTTGACAATCTGCCTGTTCTGCTCCTCACTCTACCTCTGGTGAATCCACTCAGCACCCCTGCATTTCTGGCCTGTACCCCAGTTCTGTACCCACAAATAAAATAAATCTTAAAAAAAAAGAGGAAGTAATCACAGAGCATGGACCAGGCCCTGAGCATCTGTCCTTCCAGCCTCATGCTCCCCTCAGGCATGCTCCGTCCTTCCTTTTTTCTCCACTTTGAAAACTACTAACACCAAACAAACAAACAAACAAAACCCTTAAAGGGTCCTGTGATGCGGTAACACGTAACATCAATTTTATTAGGTTGGGGCGGCACCTCTAGCGTCCAGGGGAGGGCCAGCCCTCACATGTTGTTGAGTTCCAGCAGGGTCTGGTCGAGGGTCTGGTGAATCTCCACGTTCTCCTCCTTGGCACTGGCCAAGGTCTCTGTGAGGGGAAGCAGCATGTGAGGAGAAGGGAGACCCAGGGGAAGGGAAGTGGGAAGACGTGGACTGGGGCTCGGGGACAGACATGGGATGGGTCAGAGGCACAGGAGGACACAGCATTCAGGGCTCTGAGGGGCCAGCAGCAGGACAATGGACAGGTTCACCGGGACAAGGGAGATAGGACAGACATGATGCCTTACTCAGGCTTTCAAAGTCACAGAGGTGGGGTGGAAAGGCCCGAGTCATAAACCACTTTACTGTCTTTTCTAAAGGTCTGAGAGTTGAAAACATAAGGAAAGACAGACTGAGCCAGGTAGGGGAGGGCCAGACAGACTGACAGACTTGAGGCAAGAAACAGACCTGCAGTGAAAGCCCTCGTTGCTGGCATCCATTTTTCCAAACTTCATCCCTGACCTTTCACGACTTCTTGCCCCTGCCCTGCACCCCCTCACCCCACTGCCCTCCATCCTTCCTTTAGCTCCTGGAACCCCAGCTGAGTGGCCTGAGGTCAGCGGCAGCCTTGGGTCTGCAGCGGCACAGGACTCAGGGTAGTGGAGGCTCGTGGTGGTGCGGACAAAGGCCCACATGCAGCGGTGACGATCAGAGTGGCAGAAGGGAGTGCCCGTGCAGAGGGGCTTGTGGTGTGGGCCACCATGTCATGGCCAGGCTCAGGTAGGGGAGTCACAAGATTGGAGGTGTCTATAGAAGCCAGGGTGAAAGCAGTGAACCAGTGCTCTGGGGGGAGGGGGGGCTGATGGCAGTTCTCTCTGGAGTGCAGGAAAACAGCATGGAGACCAAGTTGAGTTTATTAAGCCGCAGAGAGGTAGAGACTGGGGGTGAGGAGTGGGGAGTGGATGGAGAGAAAGATAAAGCAAGTGCCAGGATAGGTGGCAGCTGTGACGGGGCTCTCCCAGGCCTTGCCCAGTCTGGATGTGCAATCTTGGCAATCTTTGCTTCTCCTGCCCACGCCCATCCCCATGGAGAGAACAGAAAGGAGAGGAGAGAAGGCCGCCTCAGGGGGCCACACTGCTATGGGCCTCAGAGAGAGGTAATGTCGTTGAGTGCGTTGTCCAGCTCCTCACTGATGGCCTTGTACTTCATCTTCTGTGCATACACTTCATCTGGGGGTCAGGTGAGGGGATAGGTGGGAGTGTGGGAAGAGGGGATGGCGGAAAAGAGGAAAGGGGGGAGAGGGTGATGGAAAAAGAGAACAAGAGTCAGAGCGAGGTGGGCAAAGACAAAAGTGTGGAGAGCGGCTAGAGAACTGGCTGACAGCCACTGGGGTATGTCGTCCCCTCCTGCACCCGCTTTTTTCTCCTTCTTTGTACCCCAAACTGGTTCCTCCTCAGGGCTCTGGGGGAACAGTGCTTTGGATAGTGCTTGCTTCCAGGGGAGGGTGCTCGAGCCAGAAAGGTCTAAAGTGCTAAAGCTAGGGACACTGAAGCTTGCTTGAGAAGGTCAGGAGAGGCGAGCGAAGTTGCCATTATGAAAGTGAAAGTACCAGAGAATCAAAGGGAAAGACAGCTTCAGGCACAGATTATTGATAACATGAAACATAACAGCCACAGGCTAGCAAATATCTGGCTGTTTTCACCAAATGCAGCTTAAATTAGTATTTCCTCTTATATGGTCACCAAAGTCACTGCCTGCTGGAGCAAGACGTCTCTCTCATGATGCGGCTCCCCTGGGTGGCACTTGGCAACAGAGATGCTAAGATCACTACCAGGGCCACTGCCCATGGGGCCTGCGGGCAGCAGCACCAGCAAAACCACAGAGCAGGAGACACTCAGGCCCTCCAGCCAAGGCAGACACCGCGCTGGGTAGGCCCCAGGGCCCTGGGACCTTCTCTCCTGCTTGCTCAAGTTTGACAAGCGTTCAGTCACTTGCTGTACCGGCTGCTTCTACCTGAACGGTACTTACAGACCCCCTTGGGTTTGTGGAGGGCTGGGTTGTCTAGTCCGAATGTGTGGGTGGCAAATGAAAGAGATGGGAAGGGACAGAGGGCCAGTCAGGGAGCTGCTTAAAAAGCCTGGGGAGATGGGGCATTCCTTTTACCTTCCAGGTCATCGATGGTTTTCTCCAACTTCGCCACAGACCTTTCAGCAAACTCTGCTCGGGTCTCAGCCTAGCAGTGAAGGAGAGAAGGGGAAATGACAAAAAATTAGGCCCTCCCTCCAGAACTACTACTTGCCTCAGCCATCGAGTCTTCCACCCCTACCCCCCCAATTCCCTGCCACGGGTAGCCTCTGGGGAGGGCTGGTAGGCTTGAGGGAAGAGCGGGGGCCGGAAGGCTCTCACCTCCTTGAGTTTCTCCTCTAGCAGTTTGATCTCCTCTTCGTATTTATCTTCTTTGGTGGAATACTTTTAGGGACATACACATGCCATCAGTGGACTGCCCCCACACACCCTTCATTTCTCCAAAGTCCCGCAGGCTCCTCCTGATCTTGTCTCCATCAAACACCCGGCTGTCCCTGCCCGGGCTGTCGCCACCCTCCCCTGCAGGACTCCATCCTCACTGCCCCTCCGCCCCCTCTACCTTGTCCGCTTTGGCTTCCAGGGATTTCAAGTTGTTGGTAACAATTTTCAGCTCCTCCTCTAGGTCCCCACATTTACTGCAGGGTGTGTGGCAGGGTGAAGTGAGAGGGCACAGTGAGGTGAGTCAGTGGAGATGGCGCAGTGGAGGAGGGTGGAGGAGACAAGAGAAAAGCAAAGTTGTGAGAGTGACAGCAGGCAGGCAGAGCTCCAGGCCCTACCCAGCCCCAGCAGGTGAGAGAGCAGCCTGAGATGCAGAAGGTGAGCTGAGAAAAGGTGCCATTGCCCAGATAGGTCTCGAGAGGTACTACCTCTTCCTCTGAGGCTATCAGGGACTTGAGGGCCTGGTCCATGGTTCGAAGTTCCTCCTCCAGCTGCCTGGCTCGGCTGGGGGCAGCGGGTAAGGGTCAGAGGACGGCGGGCCCTGCCCCTGTGAGCCCGACCTGGGAACCTGCATCCCCACTGTGTGAGAGTGCCCCACAGCCACGGGCTCAGGTGGAGTATCACCTGCCACCCCAGGTGAACTCACCTCTCAGCCACCTCCGCTCTCTCTTCTGAGCGCTCCAGCTCTCCTTCCAGGATCACCAGCTTCCTGGCCACCTAGGGGATGTGGGGAGAGAAGAACAGGCTTATGGTGGGTGACTGGGGGTGTCTGGGCCTTTGGAGTGATCAGGAAGTGGGGTGGGGCTGTCACCTCTTCATATTTGCGGTCTGAATCCTCGGCAATGTGCTTGGCCTCCTTCAGCTGCATCTCTTGCAGTTCCATCTTTTCCTCATCCTTCATGGCTCGGTTTTCAATGACCTTCATGCCTCTGAGAGGCAGGGAGAGGAGTGGGGTCAGGCCCGGCAGAGACAAGCTCCCTGCCTGCTCCCCAGGGCTCCCCTGCAGGTCCCTCTGCCTACCTCTCACTCTCGTCTGCAGCTTTCTCAGCCTCCTCCAGCTTTTGCAGGGCTGTGGCCAGACGCTCCTGTGCCCGGTCCAGCTCTTCCTCTACCAGCTGGATGCGGCGGTTCAAGGAAGCCACATCTGCCTCGGCCTGTGTGACAAAGGTCAGAGGTCAGAAAAGTTATCTACCTTGGAGGATCAGAGAGGTTCCGCAGGATGGTTAAGAGTCTTGTCTGACAGAACTTAGGCTCCTGGTTTCCAGACTCTCAGCCTACTTCTCCCCTAACCTGCTCAGATGACATGCTTCAGTCAAACACGCATCCTTGGCAAGGCCTCCTCCCTAGGGCCTCTTCTGGCTGTGCGTGGTTATCGGCATGCAGTTCCTTTGTCTCCCCCAAAGGACTCAGAGTGCTGGGACTGAGGCTAAGGAAGCCTGAGCACCCCACAGCAGAACCTGGCTCAGGTAAAGGGTACTGAAGAATCAGGCCAACAGGACCTCAAGGCTGCTAGAAACTGCCAGTCAGAGTCAAGCTCCATGACACCACCAGCTTCCAGGCCTAATGGTTTACTTGGGACGTCCACGTGGGCTTCCAACCAAGGTCTCAGTGCACAGGGGCTATACAGGGCTCGTGTGGGTGACTGCTACTCAGCTGCTGACCCTGCAATATAGAGGCAAAGCCATGGAGGTTGGGAGAAGGCCCACGGAAAGTCATGATACCTTGAGAAAAAGGGCAGACCGAGGGTCCTGATAAAGCAAAATGAAGGAGCAATGCTGTTTGGTGAGAGCATTATTTCTGTGTCAGGACATCGTCTCTGAGTCCATTCAGCACCTCAACACCTGGAGGGCCTTGGGAAACTTATTTAGTGTCTCTGAGCCTCATTTTCCACCTTTTGAAATTGGAGTTATAATTGCTGTTCAGAGATCACACAGCGCTCCATCGGGAGGCTTATAAAACCGGGCAGCTCTCTAGCTCCATGCAGAATTGAGATTTCCAAGGCAAGCGTTTGGACATTCTTTGATCCCTTTTCTTTTTTAATGTTTCCAAATAATTCCGATAAGACAGGATTGGAAAATAGTTAAAATAACATGCAGAGAGCGCTTGAGCCTATGTCCACTTAAAGAGTGATATGCACTCTATAAGCATTAAGTTACCCCTGGCTCTCCCTAAAAGACAAAGGCATGGAGATCCTGGTACTTAAGGAAGGCAAAAAGGAGAAGGGGCCAATGTTCGGGAAGAAGTGAGAGAGGGGAGAGATGGGTGGCAGCTCTCAGGCAGAGGGGCAGAGTGCAGGTACTGGGCAGAGGAAACACCATGCTATATGCAGAAAGTGGACTTCAGCTCGCCTCCAGGTGCCAAAGGCCACCTACAGTGCCAAGAGCCTGCTATGGGCATAGGGCAGGAAGATGCGGTATGGAAGGGTTTCGGGGACAGTACTGAGGCTGGGGGAAAAGACTCTGGGAGAAGACCCCGGAGAGAGATGAGACTATAAAAGGGAAGCTCCATCATGGTGGGGGAATGACAAATGACTGGGTGAGCTGGGAAACCCTGGGGTCTTATCAGCGGACTGAAGTTTGCCATTTTCTGATTCTTGAGCACTTTCTGGTATGGATGCTGCTCTCTAACCATAGGACGTGTACCACCGTCCCAGTGGACAATCAGAAAGCAAGAAATGGGGAAACTGAGGCACTGTGTAACTGAAGTGCTGCATTCAAGGTCACAGTAAGTTTGGGCAGTATTTCCTAGCTACTCCTGGCACTGCTGCCTGTCTTCCCTGGCTCTGTCCTGTCCACCCCCTCCTCCCTTCCACCCCCCACCCAGCTCCTTGGGTTTCCAGTCTGCCTCCAGCTGCACCAGGTCTTGGTTATTTATAGAGTGTCAGATGCCCAGGGTCGTCTTCACGAGCAGCTGCAGGTCAGCTCCCTCCCAAGTGCCAGGGCCCATGGCGAACCAAAACCAAAGACTGAAGGTCAGAGAAACCACCCTTGCGGTAGGGGGTTGGGGAACATGAAGAAAGGTCAACATCAACAAGCAGTAACGTCATCTCTGATGTTTAGACCAGAATTTATGCTACTCCTCCCATAGACCCAAGCAAAAGCTCATCTTAAAGCAATCCTGGAGGAAGACAAATGGGGACATTGAGGCAGAGAATGGAGAAAGCGCCATGTCCAAAGTCATTTGGTCATTCTTCTACCTCAAGTTGGGGGTTGGGAATGGCAGGAAGTAGAAAAGGTCTGGTTAAGGGGTGTGAGGGTGGGCAGAAAATTCTCTGAGTAAGCAGAATCTGCCAAGGTGGCTGCTTTGGCATTTGTGGCCCTGTCCCTCTGCCCTGAGGCCTGGCATGGTCTTGAGACTGACTGCTTAAGGAGGGCAAAGCAGAGACTGTTAGAACCTGAGCTGGGCCCAGTACACCAAAGGGTTCCTGGAGCCAGAGGTCAAGGCCAGGGAATTTCTAATGACTCCTCAGGAGTGTAACTCAAGTCAGGGCCCATCACTAGATTCCTTCCTCCTGTCCAACAGAACCTCACACCCACATCCCACACCCCACAAATGTAGCTGTAGCCTCCTTTCCACATTCAGCTGGAGGATTAATTGAGGCGGATGGTAAATTCTTGGGCCATCCACCCCCACAGTGACTCACTGCTTCATCACTGTACATTCTAAGCGCTGGAACCACACAGGATTGAACACTATATACTCTGGGGTAAGTGGTAGGCGGTTTTGATTTACCCACTGCCTTGGATTATTTGTGCAAGCCTGCCCTAACCTGGGTTCTTGAGAGGAAACCGTTTTTGAACCAGCACTGGGGATATGGAGGTGCCCTTCCCTCAACATCCACACGGTCAGGAGACCGCCCAGCACACTACACCTTCCACCGATCTCCAGTTCTCACTCACGTCAGTGGCCTTCTTCTCGGCCTGCTCCAGTTTCTCCTGGGCATCCTTCACGGACTCAGAATACTTTTCCACTTCGTCCTCAGTCCCCTTTAACTTCTTTTGGAGGGCCTGCTGCTCTTCCTCCAGCTGGGAAAAAGAGGGTTTTGTCACCCAGGGCCCAGGGCCCAGGGCCCAGAAAGGAGACGGGGATGTGTGTGAGGGAGTACTAAGTGATCTTTGGAGACTGTCAGGGAAGACAAGTAACAGCAATGAACAGTGCGGTCAGGGCTGTTGGGGGCACATGGCAAGGACAGAGAAACAACTTCTGTTTCCAGGGAGCAGGGGACTGGGGCTCCCCAGATTATAATGGATGCGATGAACCACGTCTTTGGTTAGAGCCCTGGACTGAAATGTAAAGGCCCAGGCCCCATACGTGATAGGAGAGTCTTGGACAGAGGGGCAGAGAGCACAGACAAGGCTGCCCTGTTAGTAGAGGGGTGACAGGGGAGGGCCCCCCACCTGCTTGCAGCGGTCCTCCGCCTGCTTCTTGTCGGCCTCGGCCTGCTCGGCGCGGTCGATGGCATTCTCCTTGTCCAGCTTTAGCATCTGCATCTTCTTCTTGATGGCGTCCATGGCTGCGGTGGGGGGCGGGCCGACCGGCGAGCAGTGCGGATGGAGCGAACTGGGCTGTCTGCGCGGACGAGGCGCACGGGAGGCGAGTGTGGAGGACCGAGCAGGACTGGGATGTCCCAAGCCGCCCGGCGCCTAAAAGGCTGGGAGCGACCGGGCGGAGCCGGGGGCAGGGACCCTCCCCCACCGCAGTTCAAACCTTGTAGGGGCAGAAGCACAGACTGGTCTGGAGGCGCGGTCGCCCCCTGCGCCCACCCCCTCGGGTCCGCCCCCTCACAGCTCCGCCCCTCTGCCAACTTCCCCACCCTCCTCCCCAGCCGTCCGAAGGGAGAGTAACTGAACTGTTAGGTGCAAAAACCGTCGTCCTGAGGAGGGGACCCTCGGGCTGGGGGCTGCTTGCTTTCTCTCTGAGTGACAGCTCGGGCCATGGGCAGCTGCAGCTGGGGGCCCTGGGGCTATTTCGGGGCGTGAGCTCACGGCAGCTGCCCTGGAGTCAGGAACGGGATGCCTTGCCCCCGCCCCCCCATCAGCTGCTGCAGCCGCTACCCTTAATTTAGAAGTTTCCTGTAAATCCCTGTGGATTAAATGTCTCTTGGGAGGCGGGGCTCCCCTGCAACTCTAGTGCCTCAGTTTACCCTGAGGTTATGTTACAGACGTGATAGTAGCAGCGGAGTGTCACTAGGACTGCGGGACACTGGGCCCGGAGGGAGCTCAGAGACGGGGTCGCAGAGTGGAACGCGGCCGGCTCGCTGCCCCCGAGGACGGGCCTGACCTCTCTTCCCCTCGCTTCTCTTCCAGCTCCGGCCGCCGTGGCCAGGGCCCCTCCTCCACGGTTAACCCGGGACTCCAAAACCAGCCCCGCGCCCTGCCCCCACGTGCCCGGCATACTTTCCACGCGGTCACAGCCGGGCAGACACCGCGCGCTCCCCGCTCCGCGCTCCCCGCTCCCCACTCCCCACTCGCGACGCGTTTTCTTTCCGCCCACGCTTCGCCCCCCTCCGGGCTCCATCAGCCGGCTCGCGCCTCCACTCCCACCCCCAGCACTCCGTCCCCCGCTTTCCCCTCTGCCCGGTGGCCCAGCGTACCCTCCCTTCTCCACCCCACTCCCGGCTGACTCTCCCTCTCTTCCCTAGTGGGCCAACTTTAAGAAACTTCTTTTCTGCCCTTTTTTGGGATGCTTCCCAGCGGGGAGGCGGGGTCGGGCTGGGCGGGGAAGGCAGCCTCTAGGAGGGAGACTGAGCCTCAAGGCGTCGGGGGCCGTGGTCAGCTGCCCCCTCCAGCAGAGGCCTGGAGAACCGGTTTATAAACCCGGGGCTAGGATCCGGACGGAGGAGGCGCGGGGTGCGGAGCTGTTACGGTTTTCCCTGGGTGTGGATGTGGGGGGTGAAAAGGAAGTGGGAAGCCGCGGGGGAGTTGGGGGTAGGGGAGGAGAGACCCGGCGGAGGAAGCTCGAGGGAGCGGTTCGCCCGGCTCCCCAGGGGCTGAGGAGTAAGACGTAGGCGCTTGCTACTTGGGGTGGGAACCGTGGGAACCCTAGGCGGAGGTTCGGGCGGGGTGGAGGGGGCGCGGAAATCCATTTAGGTCTGCTTAGCTGCCTGCTGCTACCCGTGGAACACCCCTGATCTTGAGGTGTGCACGTCAAGCCATCTCCGTTCCCCCAAACTCGTGAAAGACTCCCCTAATGCCCCTTCCGGGGCCAGTGCTAAACCCCTGGGAGTTATTAAGCACTCCTGATCCCGGTCCTGCACTTCCTCTGTCACTGAATTGTGTAGATTCTACTTACAACACATTTTAAAGTTCCTCCTTAAAGCCTCCGTAGTTGCCTTGAGGGGCTCCTTATATCACCTGCCTGGGTCTGTTGTTTTATTTCTGGTTTCAAAACTCTTTCGTTTAATCTATTCCTCATTATTAGCAACAAAGATCTTTTTAAATATTGTAGAGTGGACTCCTAAAAACCTCCCATCCCCCTCCCTATTCCCTCCCTCCTTTGGGGGGTAAAAACCACATTTCTTAATATGGTATAGAAGGCCCTTTGTTTTAGCCCCTGCCTACCTCTCTGGCCTCATCTCCTTTCATTCCCCACCTCAGTCACCAGACTCAGACTTGTGCTTCATGCCACACTCACACCCAGCTACTGCAGGAATGGGAATTAGCCTTACTTGTCTGAAAGCTGCCACCTTAGGCATTCTGTTCTCTCTCCCTAAAATGTTCTTTCCCTAGGCTGATTCTGTTAAAGGGTAGGGAAAGGGGCACCCCAGAGCCCCTAATCTGCCTGCTTTAAATACGTTCTTCCATCCACCCATTAAAATAAAACATACTCTAGTGCATAAGACCTTTAATGGAAAGGAACTTCAATACAATTATTGTGTAACAAAGAGAAGGGAAAGAATATCCTTTCTAAATCAATCACCCAAAGTTACCTTGCTCCCTCATGGGTATGTGTCCAGCAAAACAGGGCTGGCCCAAAGCAGGCCCACAGAGGCCTGAAAGCCTGCCATAGGTGTAAGGCACCTTTTGGTAGGCCCAAGGGGAAAGGGCAGAAAAAGGGCCCAGCATCTCTGGGGCAAAAGGAGCAACATCAAGATAAAAGCTGCCATTATTTACCTCCCCACTGGGGTGGGTTGGGTTTCCCACATCTGTTTCAACCAGTCCAGGACCAAGAAGCAAGTGCAGTGTTTTCACATGTCTCTGTCCCATGTGCCTCCGCCTTGGTGTTCTCCATCCTTCTTTCTTCCATTCCTCCAGTCTCTTTTCTAGCACTTCTCTGCCTTGTTCAGCTTCACCCTTCTTTGGGTGGGGCAGGGAACCTGGAACTTCTTTCCCTGGGGACCTGTTACACTTCCTGATGGCCTTACAGACTCAGATCCTGCCAGCTCTTCTGGGGAGCCTCCAACCACTCTTCCCTGCGGATCTCTTCCCCTAATAGGTAAATGTGACTTGGTGCAAGCTCATCTATTATTTGCCTCCTTCTGCCTATAACTGTTGTCCCTGTTTGTCACACACATAGTCTGTGACACCTTCAGAACAGGGACTGTTTTTTTGTTCTGGGAACACAGTGCCTAGCTTCACATCAGACAGAGCTGGAACCTGATAAACTCTTGCAGGTGAATTGTTGGTGCACTGGGTTCTGGATACACAGGATGTATCAATACCCATGGGGAGCGAGAGGAACTTATGGTGGAGTGCTGCAATTCTCAAACTTAGCACACTTTTCTTCTGCTAATTATCGAAGACTCCAAAAAGTTATTGTTGAAGTGGTTTATGAAGTCATTTTTGGAGATTTTGGATTTGGAGAGTGGGGTCCTTGGGTTCACCAGCACTTCCCTTTCAGTAGCACTGGCAAGTTCCCAGGTGAGTCTCTTCATGAGACACAGATGTTAGTTGTATCCAAAAGTGCAAGCTATTATAAAAAGGACAGAATAAAGGACACTTGCACAGACACAGGTGGGCAGAAAGGGCTGCCCCCAGGAAGGACAGGTGTGCTAAAAGAGAGGCCTGCATAGGCACAGGTGGGAGTGGGGGTGGGGGGGCAGCTGCCTTAGGCAAATTAGGGATCATTAGGCAGCTTCGGGGACTTCAGGAGAGTTAAGGGAGGCTCCAGAGATGAGGGCCCCAAATTCTAAAGGGGACAAGCAAACACCCCAGGACTGGGGGCAACAGAACATTAAGAAAAGTACTCTAAGATAAGGACTGGGACAATGAGACTTAGTTCTGGGCACAGACTTTAAGACAGAGACCAATCACAGAGACTGGTGGAGCTTTAGAATAATTAGGAAAAGAAAGTGTGTATTGCCTACACTGGACTATGGTGATGGCACATGTATGATTTGGTGATGGGAAACCCAAGGGGATTGCAACTGAGATGGAAAAATGCACAAAAATATGTAAAAATAAACTACTATAATTAAAAAAAAAAAAAAAGAAAAGAAAGTGTGTATTCCCTGAGACAGGATTCCTCTTCAGCTCCCTGGTTCCACCAGCCTGGGATCCCACTTTATTTCTGTTCTCTTTTTCCTTAATAAACTTTTTCTTTTTCTAAACAAATCTGCCTCTTCCCACTTGCTTGCCTGAGCACCTGCGAAGTTCCTGCTGCAGCTTCATTACTGAGGCACCAACAGTGCTGGTCTAGTGGCCAGGATTCAGTGCTGCCCATGCAGCCTGGGATCTGTGCCTGGCTGGGAGACTAGGCCTGAAGACCTGACATTTCGGTATCACCACTGCAGAGATTGCATTGATATAGCCTTGGGGAGGGGCCCATTCCTTTGTGGAGTGGTTCATTTTTGTTGATTTGGAGTAACTGTATAGAATTAGAAAAGGACCAGAGATTCTACCAGTGACCCTCAATGTGGAGAGATCTTCCCCTGTGGTCTGTGCCCCACACACGCTAACAGCAGTTGATACCTGTTCTGGTCTATGCCAAAGCGCCTGAGGATTTTTCATTGATATAGCAGATTTAATGACTATGTTAGTCACTTCTACCCACACCTCCAGTGCCTGCCATTGTGTGAGACAGTTTTCTGGTCTTGTGGTGCCTCCATTTCAACTTCTTTACTCTTAATTTCCCTCACGAAGGCAATACAGCCCAAAAAGATTATTGATAAGTTCCCGTTTCCACTTGGCACCTGACCCTTACAAAAACTACCATTTATCAAGTGTTTTTGGTGTAGTGTTGATGGAGGATAAGGATAGACAAGTTGGAAAGGAGGCACCACAAGACCAGAAACCTGGTTCACACAATGCCAGTGCCGGTGCTGGGAGCTGGATGCATAGTCATTAAATCTGCTATCTCAATGAAAAATCTTCAGGTGCCATGGCATGGATCAGAATAGGTGTCAACTGCTGTTAGAGTAACATTGAGCACAGGTGAGGATATGGAGATTGAGGGCCACTGGTAGAATCTCTGCTCCTTTTCAAATTCTACATAGTTATTTAAAATCAACAAAAATGAACCACTCCACAAAGGAATGGGCCCCTCCCAAAGGCTGTATTAGTGCAGTCTCTGCACTGGCAGGGGGCAGCTGCCCTTCTGCCCACCTGTGCCTATGCAGGCCTCTCTTTTAGCACACCTGTCCTTCCTGGGGCAGCCCTTTCTGCCCACCTGTGTCTATGCAAGTGTCCTTTATTCTCTCCTTTTTATAGTAGCTTGCCCTTTTGGACACAACTAACATCTCTGTTTCATGGAGGACCTCACCTGTGCAGTGAAAGCTCTGGGGGCCTCCCTGGTGGTGCAGGAGTTAAAGAC